CGCCAGCCGAAAGCGGGTTCCGGGGTGGGCTGAGGTTCCACGATGCATCTGCTGGCCTTGGACGGCGCCCATGATGTGACACGCGGAGCCCCCGGCCGCGCCCCATGGGCCAGTCACGAATGAAATGCGTCGGCCTTTAGTTGCTCTATATAACTGTGTGTCTGGGGGCTGCCGGGGTGTATGTTGCTCCCTCGATAAAAAAGCAAACTACGCCAGCCACGATCAAGTGTATCCGTAAAACGCAGTCAGGCGACAAAGAAATAGACGCCAAAACAACCATGGGACCAGCGCCAACACCCGCCCACCAGCGGCCGACGCGCAGCACTATCCAAAACATTTTCCCAACATGCTCAAGAGCTACCTGCCCTCGGACCCCGATGCCTTTCGCCGCGTGCTCTGGACCGGCCTGCACTCGCAGCTGACGACCATCACGGTGCCCGAAGGCGGCAACATGGTCGAAGATGTAAGGCCCCCTCCTTCTCCATTCCCAGTAGCCCATTGTGCTTGAGAATTGCATGTTGACGAACAACGGAACAGATCCAATCCGCCGACCAAACCATCACCATCACAACCGGCTCGGCGCTGGCGCAAGTCGGCTCGCGCAACAGCCCACGGCAGCAAGCGCTGCGGGCGGGCGACATGCTGACGGTGCCGGCGGGGGCGCCGTGTGAGCTCGTCAACACGGGGCCGATGCCTCTGGGGGGTGCTCCTCGTGACGTCGTGGTGACATGGCGTCTTTCATTTTTCTTTTATTTTTTCTTTTGGGGAGGGGGGGGGGGGGGTTCATTTATTTTTCGATTTATTTAAGTCGCCTTCTTCCAGATGTCGCCCCCACTAGATGACGCGGAACATGTTGGACTTGACGCCGCGCTTGAGGCCTTCGGCCTTGCCGTCTTCGTACTCGACGCCGGCGGCGCCGCCTTCACCGGAGATGCCCTCCATCTTGAGGCGGAGCTCGGCGTCGAGTTCGGCCATGGTCTTCCGTTTGGCTTTCGGCGCGGGTGTCGATGATGCGTGCGTCGACGATGACTTTGCGTTGCCGCGTTCGGCATCGGCAGACATGGGGGGTGTCGAGGATGGGGGGGCCGAAGACGATGACGAGAGGCGCGCCTGTGGGACGAGCACGAGCACACGGCCAACGCGAGGCACGAAACGGTTCATGGGCGGTGGTGATCAATTGGCGTTATGGGCGTACTCCGACCGGTTGGGGGAAAATGTGAGCAATCAATGGAAAAGGTGTTTGCAGTGTATTGCCTTCCACCATTGTACGTAGCACAGCAAGGAGGACATTCATGACATGTCGTGACGTCAGGATCTTGTGCTCTACAACACCAACAGAAATCAATAATCAAAAATGAATCAGTCCAGTCTGCATCAATAGTTCCATCAGACCAGGCCATTCCATCCGTTTAAGAAAAAAAAAAGCCCAGCCTCGGCTCCGACATGGCCGAGCTCCACTGATGAAGCCTTTTGCAACAGACTTCGTATTTGCATTGTCTTGGGGCGTTCACCATCTTATCAGATCATCTGATAAGCGAAATAACAGGCTCCATCTTATCTGATGCGCCGAACCGCGCCGAGCATCACCACGACCTACGAACAGCCCCCAAAAAATCAATCAAAAAGAATAAAATCCACAAATGCCGCCCACACCTCGCCTGCGCCGCCCCTCTTCCGGCCTAGCCTCCTCATTCCCCCTGGCACCCAACACAACAACACACCAACACACACAACATGAGCGGTCCACCTCGCCTCAAAACGGCATGGTTCGACGCCTCGCCGCATGCTCACGGCCAACAGCAACATGGCAACAGCAGAAAGAGGGCCCCCTCTGCATCCCGCGCAGCCGAGGCGCCAGGGGCAGACTCTGCACGCCAACGCAGCTGAGAAGGGGTACAGTACATGTACACAGCGGATGTTCGGTGGCTTCTGTAGGCGTAGGAACAGGAGACCGGGGTATGTGCTCGTTCCGGCCGG